CCTTAATAAGTTTTTTTATGTGAAATTAATCATTAACTATAACGAAAGTTAAATAGTAATAAAAAAAACTATAATAATACTTTTATCCAATAGGTTAACAAACCATGCCAAATTATGCATTCTACCTATTGTAATGTGTAAAGAAAGAAATTCTTTGCTTAGCTAATATAAGGCACAAATATACAATCGATACTAACATAATGCATGTATGCATGCGCGACATTCTGTCAACGGTGACTGCGCGGAGGGTGTGAGATCTGAAACAAATTCCTATGTCAATAGATTTATTTTGTCTGGATCATAATCTACAGAGTGGTGGTGGGGATTGACAATATCTTTATCAAAATCACTATCGTGTATATTCTTTCAATTTGAACCTTGTGTTACTCGTTTGTTGTCTCTTGATTTGTTCTCTGGCTAGCAATACTCAGCAAAAATGATTTGTGTTATGTTATTATTATTGAAGCAAAATGACCCTTGCCTAATGCAGCCGACATAATATTTTTTTAGTAATATATATATATATATATATATATATATATATATATATTACATAATTATATGTATTAGAGTCATTATTTTATTAGTTAAAATTTAAAGTGGTAAAAATTATGGCTAATTATATATACGTGATAAAAGACTAATTGACTAATTGAGTAGATATTTTTAGTGATATTATAATTTAAAGATGGGTCAAATTATAATTCAGCTGGGATAACTTATGACATTTATAAATATATGAGGTTATGATCTCCCATGATAAAGAGAACAACATGAAATTAAAATTAAAAATTTATATTTTTCACTTTTATCCCTTCAGATGAGAAAACATAATATAAGGTTCTCTTTGAAAGATCGGATCAATCTTAATCTTTCGTCATTTTATCATGTTAAATAAGACATATTTTTGTATTTAATTTTCATATCGTAATTTTGAGTATGAAAGTATAATGAGTTTCGTTTATCTTATGATAGAAATCATATTATTAGAATTAATTATCTATTATAAGAAAAAAAACAAACTAAGATTAATGATTAAATATCAATATTTTTTTAAAACATTGTATTATAATATAAAAGTTTTATTACTTAAAAGATTACTATTAAGATTTAAGGTTGAATGAAAGACTTAATCATACGTCATCCTAAAAAAATTATTATCATTTTATTAATTTATTTTGATATGATCAATTTTTTTTTTCTTTGTTACTTCTTTCTCTCTCTCTCTCTCTCTCTCTATATATATATATATATATATATATATATATATTATTTATTTTATATTATTTTTTTCTTTGTAACTCTAATTTATATAGTTTGAGAGACGTTGTAGTTTCAAGGCAATGCCCATGACACACTACAATAAACTCTACCCATTAATATTTATTCAAGGAGCTTCAAAAACCTTTCATGAAGTAGCTATACTATGTTTTCCAAAGTCAATGATTCTATGTTGGGTTTTTGAAGGGTTATGTGTATATGTATTTCGATATATCATGTGTATTTTTTCTATTCATGTACTCTATGTATATATAGAGTAAAAATATTACAAAATATTAAATATTCATAATATCTCAATCATAACAACCTAAATCAAAATAATAACCTAATGTCTTTTTACATTCTCTCTTAAAAGATAATAAATTCTCTTAATACCTAATTTAAATAAAAGATAATAAAGTAATATTTCCAACATTCCTCCTTACTTTAATATCTATTTATTTGAATTTGATATATTTTTTCCTCCTTTTTTGTTTATACTTCTTGTTATCTTCTTTCTTGTAAGAGATCATATCTTCATTCTTCACTTTCTTCATCAACATATTTCTTCATTTATCAACTTCATCTCCTTTGTTTCTTTCAAACTTCATGGTAGTACTGTTGACTCTTTGATGGACGTTAAAAACGGTTTCTTCATCTACATATTTATTTTCCTCCTTAACATGAAATTCCTTCAAGAAATCTTCTTCATGCTTTTTCTTTGACTTTTATTTTATATCTTCATTTGTAATCATCTCTTCTTTCATCAAATCTAAAGTGAAACTTTTTCCTTTCATGTGAACTTTGAATATTTCTAAGTTATTTGTATCTTTAATCACACAAAGTTTGTGTTCAAAAGACACCTTATAACTTTTCTCCAATAATTGAGCAACACTTAACAAATTATGATTTATATCAGGAACATATAAAACATCAATAATCAATTTGATACCCGAATGACTTTTAACTGCAATTGTTCCTGTACCTTTCACATTCATTTCTTCTCCATTACCAATTCTCACTTTAGAAATATGTGATTCGTTGAGCTCTTTGAAAAATTTTCGATCATGAGTCATGTGGTTTGTACAACCACTGTCTATTAGCCAACCTGTGGATTTTTTGATTGTAGAGCATGTTGATGCAAGGAGAAGTACCTCTTCTTCTCTATCCTCTATAACTTGAACGACTTCCTCTGATTGTGATTTGCATATCTTTTCTATATGTCCCAATTGACCACATTTGTGACATTTCACATCAGGTCTCCACCAACACTTGTTGGGTGTGTGATTATTTTTCTTGCAATAAGGACAAACAGAAAATACTCGTGATTTTGTACCTTTGTTGTTCTTGACTTGGACAGAACCTCCATCATGATATAATAAAGAACCTTCACTAGCAGCATGATCTCCTCTCATCAATCTTCGTTGCTCTTGTGCTTGTAAAACATGTAACACTTCTGCCAAAGTAATATTAGACAAATCTTTTGTGTTTTCCAATGAAACAATTGATGCTTCATATCTCTCTCAGCACAGCTACCTGAATTTTTTCAACTATTCTAGAATCGGAAAATTCTTTGCCTAACAATTTTATTTTGTTAGCAATACCTAACAATTTGTTTGAGTATTCATTAATTGTCTGAGACTCTTGCATCTTTTGTATCTCAAATTCCCTTATCAAGTTTAGAACTTTCATACCTCGAATTTTCTCATCTCCTTCATATTGATCTTTCAAATAATCCCAAAATTCTTTGGGTGACTTTAGCGTCATGATTCTCGGTGAGGATCATTTGTGAAACACCAAGCAAACAGACATGATTTAGCTTTTGCCTTTCTCATTTTTTTTTCTCTCGTGAGATTTCATTTGAGCTATAGTGGGATTTTCGAGTAGTGGATCAACAATATAATCTTCTTCTACAGCTTCCCATACATCCAATCCTTCAAGATAGGATTGCATTCTCACAGCCCATAAGTCATAACTTTCGCCACCAAAAACTGGAATAGCGACTTGTGAAAAGTTTCTTTCTCCTTCCATTGTGTCAAACCAAAGCTCAGATACCAATTTGTTGGGTTTTTGAAGGGTTATGTGTATATGTATTTCTCGATATATCATGTGTATTTTTTCTATTCATGTACTCTATGTATATATAGAGTAAAAATATTACAAAATATTAAATATTCATAATATCTCAATCATAACAGACCTAAATCAAAATAATAACCTAATGTCTTTTTACATTCTCTCTTAAAAGATAATAAATTCTCTTAATACTTAATTTAAATAAAAGATAATAAAGTAATATTTCCAACATCTATCACAACATATGTTGTCTCTGCCTATGTAATTCTTAATGATTATTAGTTTACAAGTTGCATATATTTGTTTGTTGTCAAAGTAATTTTTGTTATTATTATTTTTTATCTTGGATAAAATAATTATTATGTTTATAACATTTGATATGATTCATGGACTTAAATAACTTTTTTATTAAAAAAAATATAAATATTTACTTGTTTAATTAATATATTTTTAATAGAATCCTCCTTTTTTAGTTAACTATTTAAATATAAAATTTTAATACAGAAAATATGGAAAAAAATATTAAAATGAATATTTTTCATGAAAATATAAAAAGAATTAAGCTTTTACTTATACATAAAATATAATGTATGAGGTTAACCAACTTTATTCTTATAAGAAAAAAGAAAAAAAAAAACAAAATCTTAACATTGAAAATTAATTTTTTATAAAAAAAATTGTCTAATAAATAGTTGAATTTTTAGTTGATGAAAACAAAAATATTTTTCATACACAATTAGTATATAAAATAAAAAGATTACATAAAATTAAAATTTTTTTTGAATGAAATACTTTATTCTACAATATTGTCGGTTTTAAATTAATTTTTTTAGCTAATTAGATATATTTTATTATATAACAAAAAATAAATATTTTTATTTATAATAAGTATGGAAAATCAGTAATATATATATAATTAAAAAAATATGAAAGTAAATAATTTATTATGATATATAATATGAACCCTTTTATTAAAATTTTAATTTTTTAATTAATATATATAATTATAGAACAAAAGATTAGTGTTTTAATTCAGAATAATCCAAACCATTTATCTGAAATCACATTATTGATAAAAATTTATTTACTTTGTAATAAAATTTGTTTTTAGTTTCAATTATTGATTAATTTATTATGAATAGAATAATATAAATAAACAAATGCTTTGAATGAAAATATAAAAAAAGAACTTAATTTATAAGATAAAACATATAAAATAAATAAAATATGATATATTAAAATTAAAGAAAATATAAATATTTAGAAATATCATTTTAACATAAATATATATTTGATAAAATTTAAAAAATTATTATCAATTAAATATTGATTACTATTATTAAATTATCAACAATACATTAGTTCTCTTCATCATATATTATATTTTAGTTATTTTGTAAATATATTATAAACCCATTAACGCTATTATTCTATAGACGAATGACAAACAAACCATTGGTGGAACGGAAACTGAAACCCTTACCAATCATCGATCCATCTCAGTCTCTAGTGTCAAACAGTCCACTGAAACGTGTGACCCTGTTTTTCTGCACACTATAACCCTTTGTTTTCTTTTCCCGCCACATCCTCTCAATGCCTTAAACCCTACCTCTTTGCTCCTTTCATTTCTCGGACTAGATGTGTAACGGTTGAGCGCGTGGATTATGGCGAAAGTCACTTCCAGGGACATTCAAGAGATTGTGGAAAAACTCTCATCCGATAAAGTCAAAGCTCGCGAAGTCATTTTCCTTTCCCCAACTCTTTACTTTCCTTCGTTTCGTTGTTCTCTATCTAATAGGCAGTTTTAAATGGGAAAAGAACCTTGTTCCTGTTAATGTTATTCTTAGAGTGATAAATTGAATTTAGTGTCGATATTTTTGTTTTCGATCAAGAAATCTGTCTCGCGAATGCAGAATAGTTGCACTAATTTGAACTAGAGTAGTAGAGAGGCGTCGTGTAATCAAGTGGTTGTTATTGTTACCCTTTTCTCTTTCATTTCTACTTCCAAAGAAATAGCAACATTCCTGATTAAGAATCTTTATAAGCTACATTTGTAATTAAGCTTCACCGAACTCATGTTTCAGACCTACTTGCTGAAATCAGTGAATTTAATAATAGCATTTAGCCTTTTTTTATTATTACTGTGTGTAGATGAAATTTATTCATTGTATGAATTTTCTCTTTTGGTGTACATTCTGAGCACTATGGTATTCTAATTAGTGACATTGTTATTGTATGTCAACAGGAAGGGGTTAAGTTGTTAAACACTTGGTTAGAAGGAGAAAGGTCATATAACTTCTGCAAATTTATTGCGCTGAATACTGCGAAGCTTAGACCAGATGAAATTCCTCACAGTAAGATGATCTCTTAAAGTGAATTTTACAAGCATTGGTGGATGCAATATTTTTAATATTATCCAAGCGGAGATGTAATGGTGTACACTTTTGATTGATTTGTTTGTTTTAAAATTTTGTGGGGCAGCTGAAACATGGCCTTTTCTTGTTTCTTTACTTATTAAATCTGCATCGGCGGAGATATCCTCAAGTAAGCGGAGAAATCCAAAAATGATATATGCTAAGACTCTTAGAATTGTTGTGCAACGTGCAGAGGATGCCAAGTGTCCAGGTCAGTTGGAGGAAGTTTATTTTGGAACATGCTTGTTCTTTTCTCCCCTTGATTTTAAACAAATAATGGAATCAGGAGATTAATTAAAAATTAATTGTGTCGAGAAGGTATGTAAAAATTTGTGAAACGGAAAAATAAATTACTATTAGACACCAATAGCGACCACAAGTGTAAGGTATCTTTTTTTTTTTTAAATGACAACTAAACAATTTTTTTTTTCGAAAAATGAGCTAATAACAGAATAATTCTTCAAGTTATACCCATTTAGATATTTTTTTTCTTTTTTCTCCTGTCTAGTTTTCTATAATACTTAATACTGATCTCAGTAGGGAATTTTTTTTAATAATACTCATTTTAGTATTGTAATGTTTTCTGGAATTTCTCTTTTAGGAACTAAAACGATAGGGGAATTATCATTTTCTACGTCTCCATACTTTTTACTCACTCACTTAACATCAATCTTTCTTAAAACTTTACACTACATATTTGGATGTCCTTCAATCCTTTTGTTTTAAATTATAATTAGATCTCCAGTATTTGTGATTACTCACTTTTGTAGGCTTATTCAGAGGCTTCCATTGCTGGAGAATAGAGATGAATATGTGCTAACAGCTCGCTCTAACTAGTTAATATGGTTAATAAGTGCTTAAATGCTACCATGGATTGTTGACTCAGATGATAAATAGAAATGTGGTCGATGTGAAATTAATAGTGTTGTCCTAATTCAACTCTAGAATTGCCGATAACGTTTTAGGAAAATTTTAAATCAGCAACTCCAAGTAATATATTTATATTGAAAGAAACATAACTACATGAGATGGTTGTGTATAAATATATTGGCTTAAGTAACAAGTAAGTGTTTGTTTTCTTTTTACAATCTTTTATGATCAATTTGTTTTTTGTATAACTTTTTTTTTTTGAAAAATGTTTTATTGTGGTATTCGGTATGTCAACATGGATATTTCATCACTTGTATGAAAATAACATAATTACTTATCACTTAATAAGTGTTTGTGTAGTTTTGAGGCTTTATTTTGTTCTGTAATTATCTTCTCAATATTCCACGAAGAAAAACATGGGAACATTGATGTTATAAATTTTGTTGTGAACTTTGCTCCTTTTAATTATTTCTTTTTCCTTTTATTTTTAGGAAAATTGTTACAGTTGTCATCTGTAGTTAAACTACTTTTTAATCATGTTTGGGATGTCCTGAGCAATGTTCCAAGCTTTCAGTCTGAATATGGAATTATCCTTCGGCATCTATTGTCAGTTAGGGATTATAGTTTCCAGATGAGGAGGCGTGTTTACTGCAGTAAGTTTTTGTGAACTGAAGGCTTGCATCTTCCAGTTTAATCTCCTCCCATCCTGCCCCCTTTCTAATCAAATTCTTTTTGGCTAGATCTGGTGTTTCTGTACATTGACAAAGTTGAAACGAGCTTGAATGGAAAAAATATTGGCCATTGTACCTCCAAGGAGGAGGCCTTCCGTTATATCTTGACACTTCATTCTCTTTTAAAATATCCTCCTGGTGACTACCCTGATAATGTAAGAGAAGACATTGTTAAGGGTTTTGTTAGAATATGTTCATTCATCAGGTATTTTGCAGTGCAATTCATTATTATCTTTTCCTATTATTGTTATCTGCTAGAGTGCAATCCTCTTATTTTTACTTTTTTCAGGGATGAGAGCAAGATATCGCGGAAACTTGTTGACTGTATTAATACATATTTATTAAATGATGGTCCAAATTTAGGCTCTCAGTTTCTTGAGATTCATAATGCCATGCAGCAGTTTGTGTTCCGCAGTTGGCTAACAACACATGATCGAGTTCTTAAGGTCTATTACAATTGCTTTTTAAAGCAAATACCAGGGTTAAGTTATAAATTGTTTTCAAAATTTTTCAAATTGTTCTATTAATGTTTTTGTTGCAGGATTCACTTGTGTTCTATGCAAGGATACAATTGAGTTTAACGAGAGGTTCTGCTGATAGATGCTTATTGGTAGAACAGCTTTTGGATGTGATTTGTAAGGATCTTGATCAAGGTAGCACGTCCAGTACTTCAATGCTGCGGTAAGTGTTTTCAGTGTGTTGGATTTGATCTTCTGGTGCTTTACTGTGAACTTAATAAACTTTTCAATGATGTTATCCATGACGATCTTATTGAACTTTCTACCCAGGGGTGATGGAAATAAAGATGATAAATTAGGAGCTTTGAGTAGCTCACAATGTGGATTGGTGGAACTTGCAGCAGTTCTTTTTTACAGGGTAGTTACTAGAAACTCAGCTGTCAATCCCTGGATTTAATATTTAAGTTTCTGATCTCAATTCTTGACAATTTATATATATTCTCTCCGCAACTATTTTGATTGATTTTGACATAATTAATTACAAGACCAAGGGTAGTTACTAGAAACTCAGCTGTCAATCCCTGAATTTAATATATAAGTTTCTGATCTCAATTCTTGACAATTTATATATGTTCTCTCTGGAACTATGTTGATTGATTTTGACATAATTAATTAATTACATAAGACCAATAGTAGTCATGGTCTGTCTTGGGCTTCCTTTTTTTCTTCATTGTTTTTACATGGTTTTCTTGATGAGTGTTACTTTTGCTTGTATATTGGGGAGCAGTTACCGTTGATTTGTTTGAGAGGTTTCAATAAAAAACAAGGAGGCAAAATCTTGGAGGTGTGTGTGTGTGTGTTTTTTTGCGTGCCCTTGTGTGATTAGTTGAAGGAAAATGCCTGCATTTGTATGAGCTCCTGTTTTCAAATGCCTTTAGATTTGCCTTGACATTGTATTGTCTTTGTTGATATCTCTGGTTTTCTGCTTATGGATTTTATAAGAGTTTCCTTCTCTGATATTGTTAGAGGTATTTCTCTTTATATTTTTTTTACAACCCTGTTGTTTCTGTTAGACAGTTAGTTATAACTGACATTTGTGTGTGATGATCCTCTGACCTTATATAGGACTTCTATAACAGAGGAACATCACCTTTTGTATCATTTCAGTTTAGATTAACAATATCAGAGTTTATTCTCTCTACTCAACTCTTAGTTAAATCTTAATAGACATGTAGATAAACTGGTCTGCCTTCTTGTGTAGCTCTTTATTTTCTGTGTTTTTTATAATTCTCTTTTGTTGACTGGTTTTTTCAATCTGATGGATTGGCATAGTGGTTAGGCACCCTGCACTCATACGTTATTGGGACAATCTATGTAGCTGAGAACACATGTTTGATCCCTTGTGTGCGAAAACTTGTTGAGCCAGCAAAAGTTGTAGCAGTGCAAGTAGGATAATCTCTGGGGAAGTAGGTTTGGGAGAAACCTGTGGTAGAACAAAAGATAGAAATTGCTTTATCTCTCCATGCCCCCTAGTTTTACTTGTTTGTTTGCTTTTGTTGTTCGGAAGATCCGTTACACTTTCTTGCGACTTTGTGCTACTATTAATATTTTCATTCAACAGATTGCAACCATTCTGCCATCTATATAGAGTTTTATGTGTATGTGATGCCCAGTAATGTTTATTTGTTGAGAAACTGGCTATTTTATGTTGGGCATTTAGTGTATGTACTGATTTTTAGTTTTTTCTCTCCTATAAATTTTCCTTATTGCTGGCAAACTTTTATTCCTCAGGCATGCCTCAATACAACCAGATCTTCATTAAGTGAAAAACGGCTGAAGAGGGAGTCTGCTGCTGTGGTCCTGAGAGAGGCACTCATGGAAGGGAAATGGCTATGGTAATTTATTAGCTAATTTGAGCTTGTACTGTGTAGCACATTCTGTGTAGTACGACACAGTATCAAATATTTGTTCCTCTGTTAAATACTTGTTTGATTATCTTCCTTATCTTTTTGAACTGTTTTCTCTCCTTTTTCCTTTAATAATTGCCATCCAATTATTAAAGAACAATCATTTTGAAAAAACTTCTATTTTTAGTTCATGTTTTCAGTAAAATTTTGTTTTGTGTGAGTCTTTTCTATATGTTGACCTCTGTCTTCTATCTATTATCTTAGATACGTTAGCTTTGTTTCACAAAATATGTATGTTTTATCATGGTAAAACAACTGATAAACAATATTATGCACTTGCATTATTGTTTTCATAGCATGTACAAGACCATTTTGTACTTTTTTGAGCATGCAAGCCACTTTTTCCCTTTGATATATAATATATTCATAATATTGGAAATTCGGTAATGCATAGGCCTTTAGGACAGACAATGATTTGTGCATTTATTTCTATTTTATACCATACTATGCCTAGATTGTTTGGAAGCCTGCGGTTCTTATATGACTCTCAAATGTATCAGTTTGAACTTTTAACTTATGGTACCAAGCTACTTAAATTGGGGGTTTATGAATTGAAAATTCATTTTAGACCTGGAACATAATCATCATTTGTTTACAGTTTTACCTTACAAACAATCTTTAGTTTAGATGAAAAATAACTTGTAAGTTGCTGCTCCGTGAAAGTTATGCTGTCAACTTTGCCTCTCATTTACTTGTAATATTTTTTAACTTCTTAACAATGAAATAAAATCTGATATATTGGTATATGTTTAATTGTTTGCATTATTATGCATTTGATTTTTATCAAATGTTATCTAATTATATTATTTTTATAGAAATGAAAATGTACTGAACAAATGATTGGTATTTGCAAGTTTATAAGCGTGTGTGTCTGGCAGGATTGGTATTTGCAGATTTACAATAAATAAAATGTAAAATTTTAGTATAAATTGAATTCTATATTCACATTACCTTTTTCTCAGTGTTTAATTTATTAGGTTTTAAACCAATTTTGGGTTTAATTTTTTGTTATAATTTTATCCTTTTTTTAATGATATTTATTCCTTTACTGTGGTAAAGTCGTTGATTGCATCTTCTGACATTGTAATACAGAAATTGATTTTGTTGTCATGCTTTCTATTATAAAGGTTATTTAAATTGTTTGATACATTAGAGATTGTTTAAAGTATCTAATAGGACTGGTAGTGTGGGCCTAGACATAAATGGAAGACCCAAAATATGGAGGGTGTATGTGAGGAGAAACAAAGGTGTGAAATAGAAAAGTGATGTGGTAATGGATGTAGCTGTATTAGGAGTATGAGGGGTTAGAGAGAGGGGGAAGAGAGAGTAGAGGGTAGCAAATATGCTGTTATTGTTTCTGTATTGGTAGAATGTTATTGTCATTGTGTAGGAGCATTTGTGGCAGAAGAAGTTAATTCTTTCTGTAAAATATTTTCCATCATCCAAGATCAAGATTCTTTTTCTCTCAATGCTTGTTATTCTGTTTTCTGGAGTTTTGGGTCTGTAACAGTATCACTGTGGCAAAATCTGATATGGATCTGTGCTGTAGGAATGCTGCATTTTGTTCTCTCATTCGCAACTTCCATTCTCGCATTTGCAAAGATCTCTTCCTCTACTGGTTTGAAGGCATATGTACGAGCTTTGAAAGGTAATTTTACGATTAATTGGGTGGACAAAGGAACAATTGCCATGGTCATTTGTTTCAATGTTGGCTCCATTGGTAACTTTCTTATTTAAAATTATTGTCGGTTTTCAGCACAAAACACTGCATAGAAAAGAGTGGAGCTGAATATTATGATTCCTAATTCTCTTGCCTTCTCTTTTCTTCTGGTGTTAAAACCTCAACTTTTGTGAATCATACCATTTACATTTTTTATTCATGCACTTTGATTCGTGGTCTGTTTTTTAGTGTACTTCTCTCTGCAACAACTTTAAATCCTGAGTATTTCTTTTTCTTACTAATGTATGTTTCACTTCTACTTTAATTAGTTCTTTGCTTGTAATTTTTTTTTTCATATACTTTTTCTCTCTGCCCCTCTCCTGCTCTGTTTTTTTTACTATACTCAATTTATTCTTTTTCTCTCTAATTGAAAAGCGTTAGTATTATCGTGGAAATATTGTGCATGCTTGGAGAGACAGCTAGAGCTAATGCTAGATAATTTTTTGGTTGGAATGTAAACTCTTGAAAAATAGATTAACTGAAATATGATATTTTATTATTTCAATACAAAGAGATGATATAAGATATATACAGGAGACCTAAGCTATTTTAGGAAATATAATAACTCTATTTTATGCTAGGATCCCTTGATTTATGGGATTGTTCCTAATTATTCAAATCTGTACAGATTACAAGGAAATATACAAATTTCCTTATTTATTCTTTCCTAAAATACTATTTGATTTCTCACACTCCCCCTCAAGCTGGTGAATAGATGTTTTCCATTCCCAGCTTGGATACAATCTTCTCAAAATTATGGCAGCCCAGTCCCTTGGTAAGAATGTCTGCAATTTGGTCTTGAGAGGACACATATGGAGTGCTGTTGAAAGTCCCACATCGCCTACCTCATATCATTTGGTATGGTTTAAATACATGTTAGGCTACTCCACATATTGCCAATTGGTTTTATGTTGGAACCTTAACATGGTATTAGAGCCAAAGCCTAACATCTTTCCGGTTATTGTCATGGGCCAAAAGTTACCCTTTAGTTGGGTCAAAAGTACCCTTTGCCTGGTCCGGCAGGCTTCGTTGGAGGGTGTGTGTTGAAAGTCCCACATCGCCTACCTCATATCATTTGGTATGGTTTAAATACATGTTAGGCTACTCCACATATTGCCAATTGATTTTATGTTGGAACCTTAACATAAACTTACTTAAAAAGCTCAATTGCCTTCCTCATTATTTGAATTAAATATAATCTTTGTCAAAGAATGTTGTTAGAATTGTTAGTAGTTGGTGGTTGTTAGTAGTTGGTGGTTGTAGTTTTAAATGTTGTAATCCTATATATATGTATGAGATCATAGAGTGGAGTAATGCATCCCATAAAATTAGAAATCTTCTTTTCACTCTCTTTACTCTCTTAACTTGGTATCAGAGCAGGTTGGTCCTGCTCTGCCTGTCCGGCCACCATCTGGCCACCGTCCGACCATTTCCGGTCACTGCCCGGCTATTTCCAGTCACCGTCCGACCATTTTCCGGCCACCGTCCGACCATTTTCCGGCTATCGTCCGGTCACTTTCCGGTAATCGTCAGTCCCCCGTCCAGTCACCTTTTTTTGCTGCCGTCCGACAACTTTCCAACCACCTTCCAGTAACCTTCCGGCTATCTTGGGTATTCTTTTTCTTACAGGTTCCATCATCTCCATCTTACATCTACATTATTTAAAACATGTCGTCAGAGCCCACAACCTCCTTTTCCGGAACTCCCACGATAACGACTGAGAAATTAAATGGAAAAAATTACATGTCTTGGTCCTCTTCAGTGGAACTTTAGTTCCTTGGACAAGGGTTTCACGATCATCTAGAAGAAGACGGAAGTAAGATACTAGAAGATCAGGCTCAATAATGGAAAAAGCTTGATTATCAACTCGTGCTCTCATCGTGGCAATCGAGTAGAACCAAATATTTTGAACACTCTCGGATCCTTCAAAACATGTAACTCTTTTCGGAAAAAAGCTCGAATATCTTCGCAAATGATATCCAACGCCTCTATGATTCCGCTAATCGATTAGCCTCTCTCAAGCAAGTGAATAAAGATATGATGACCTTCATTGCTGAAGCTCAATCAGCAGTTGAAGAATTAAAGATGTTCCTAGAGGTGGATTCGTTAGAGGAGATAAAGCAAAAGTTAGATAAATTCTATATGGTTATGACTCTTCGGGCTATGAATTCAGAATTTGATCATGTTAGAGATCAAATTGTAACTGGACAAGAAGTTCCTTCTATGGAAAGTTTGACTACAAGACTGCTTCGTGTTCCAACTCTCAAAGGAAAAAATAATCAAAAACTTGTTGAATCTTCTGCTATGATTTCTACCTGTGGAAGAGGAAATCGCGGCACTAGAGGAGGACGTGGAGGTAGAGGATGTCCTCAGTGTACTCATTGCAAGAGAATGGGTCATACAGTGGAAAATTGCTACTCTTTGCACGGTTTTCCTGATAAAACTGTCAATTTTTCCAAATCTGAAATGGTTGAACTCAAGTTCTCTCACGAAGAATATCAGGAATATTTGAGGTTGAAATCCAGTAATCTAGCACAGTCATCAACAATCCCAAATTCATCAACAGCTTGCATTTCACAATCTGTGGAAAGTCAAAATCCATGGATTATTGACTCAGGTGCTTCTGATCACATGTCTGGTAATGCCTCTTTGTTCTCTTCTCTCTCATTTCCTAAAACTTCTCATCTCATAACCTTAGCCAACGGATCTAAAGTAGCCTCTAAAGAAACTGGTCAAGTCTCCATTTCTTCGTCTTTAAACTTAAAATCTGTTCTTCTTGTTCCTTCATGTCCCTTCAGTCTCATTTCCTTAAGTCAATTAACCAAATTATTGAATTGTTCAGTAACCTTTAATGCCAACTCTTTTGTTATACAGGAACGTGGTACGGGTCGACAGATTGGCGAAGGACATGAATCTGGAGGCTTATACTACTTTGGGACTAAATCATCTGTATCTTGTGTTGCATCCTTGTCTCCAAAACTATTACACGAACGGTTAGGGCACCCTCACTTATCAAGATTAAAAAAATGGTTCCTGAATTTCATACTCTTCAAGATTTTGAATGTGAATCATGTCAACTAGGGAAACATACTAGGTCCTCTTTTCTTAAACGTTCTGAATCTAGATGTGACTCTGTCTTTTCTCTTGTTCATTCTGATATTTGGGGTCCTAGTCGTGTCTCATCCTTTGGCTATAGATATTTTGTTACCTTCATTGATGAGTTTTCTAGGTGTATTTGGATTTATCTAATGAAAGACCGTTCTGAATTATTACCTATCTTTAAGTCTTTCCTTAACGAAATCAAAAATCAATTTGGAAAAGTAATCAAAGTTTTATGAAGTGATAATGCCAAAGAATACTTTTCTACTGATATCTCCACTCTCTTAAGCTCCCAAGACATTTTACACCAGTCTACTTGTCCTCACACACCACAACAAAATGGTATAGCAGAACGAAAAAATAGACATTTGGTTGAAATTGCTTGTACCTTATTACTTGGTGGAAATATGCCCATTCATCATTGGGGAGATGCTATTCTTACTGCATGTTTTCTCATTAACAGAATGCTATCTTCTTCTCTTAACGATAAAGTTCCACACTCTATTCTATTGCCAAAGGACCCACTGTTTCATGTTTCTCCTCGTGTATTTGGTTGCGTATGTTTTGTTCATGATATGTCTGCAGGTGTAGATAAACTATCAGCTAGAGCCATCAAATGTGTCTTCTTGGGATATTCTCGTCTTCAAAAAGGATATCGATGTTATTCTCTTGAAACCAAGAGGTACTACATGTTTGCTAATGTCACTTTTTTTGAGTCAACTCCCTTCTTCCCTTCTTTTATGCAGGATATTAGTTCGGTCCAAAATGTCCTACCTATACCCTTAGTGGAGCCATTTGTACCTCTTCCTCATGACACCCAAAATTCCACACAAAATACACCGAAATCCTCATCACTGCCTCTTATTACCTATCAACACAGGAGCCAAATGATCAGTCCCATGTTCCAAGATGAGTCTTCCTCAGCAGATCCTTCTCAATCATCCCCTAATACCACGATTCTTGATAATGATGACTCAAGTTGGCCCATTGCCATTCGCAAAGGTACTCGCTCTACTCGTAATCCACATCCCATTTACAATTTTCTTAGCTACCATAGATTTTCTCTTTCCTATTTTTCTTTTGTTTCTTCTGTATCCACTATTACTATTCCAAAAAATGTGAAAGAGGCACTTGATCATCCTGGATGGGGACAAACCATGATTGATGAAATGCAGGCTCTTGAGCACAATGGTACATGGAACTTAATTCCTCTTCCACATGGGAAAATGACTGTTGGTTGTCATTGGGTCTATGGCATTAAAGTTGGACCAAAAGGTGAAGTTGATCGACTCAAAGCTAGATTAGTAGCAAAAGGCTACACTCAGATCTATGACCTTGACTACAGTGATACTTTTTCTCCTGTGGCCAAAATGACTATTGTTCAACTTTTCTTTGCTATGACAACTATCTGTCATTGGCCTCTTCATCAGTTAGATATCAAGAATGCGTTCTTGCATGGTGATCTTGAGGAGGAAATTTATATGGAGCAACCTCCTGGTTTTGTTGCTCAGGGGGAGTCTAGTTTGGTTTGTAAGTTACATCGTTCTCTCTATGGTCTCAAACAATCTCTACGTGCTTGGTTTGGAAAGTTTAGTCACATTGTTCAAAGTTTTGGATTAAAACGAAGTGAAGTAGATCATTCTGTTTTTTATTATATTGTTTCAGGAAAATGTGTTTATTTAATTGTATATGTAGATGATATAGGCATTACAGGGGATGATGTTGATAAAATTTCTTTGCTAAAGAAAAATTTATGCAATCACTTCCAAACTAAGGATCTTGGTTGTCTCAAATACTTTCTAGGGATTGAAGTGACTCAATCAAAAGAAGGCATCATAGTCTCCCAAAGAAAGTATGCTTTAGATATCCTGAAAGAAACAAGCATGATTGATTGTAGACCAGTAAACTGCCCTATGGATCCAAATTAGAAATTAATGGCGGATCAAGGTGAACCGCTCTCTGATCCTGAGAGATATAGAAGACTTGTTGGGAAACTCATTTATCTCACCATTACCAGACCTGATCTATCTTTTGCCGTTGGAGTTGTGAGTCAATTTATGCAAAATCTGCGTACTGATCATTGGAATGCTGTCGTTCACATCCTAAAATATCTCAAAAAAGCTTCAGGACAAGGTTTGTTGTACGAAGATAAAGGGGGTACCCAAATATCTGGGTATTGTGATGCTGATTGGGCTGAATCCCCTATGGACAGACGCTCCACTACAGGATATTGTGTTCTCATTGGAGGCAATATTATTTCTTGGAAAAGTAAGAAACAAAATGTAGTGGCCCGGTCTAGTGCTGAAGCTGAATATAGAGCAATGGCATCTCTCACTTGTGAACTAGTGTGGGTGAAACAATTCCTTCAAGAACTGAAATTTTGTGAGATCTAACAGATGAAGATGTATTGTGACAATCAAACAGCTCTCCACATTGCCTCTAATCCGGTGTTCCATGAAAGGACCAAACATATAGAACTTGATTGTCATTTTATTCGTGAAAAATTGTTGTCTAAAGAAATTTGCACTGAATTTGTCGGGTCCAATGATCAACTTGCAGATGTGTTGACAAAGTCTTTAAGAGGACCTCAAATTGAATTTATTTGTTCCAAGTTTGGCACATACAATTTGTATGCTCCAGCTTGAGGGGGAGTGTTAGAATTGTTAGTAGTTGGTGGTTGTTAGTAGTTGGTGGTTGTAGTTTGAAATGTTGTAATCCTATATATATATGAGATCATAGAGTGGAGTAATGCATCCCACAAAATTAGAAATCTTCTTTTCAATCTCTTTATTTTCTTAACTAATGTTATTAATAAAGTGGATATAATATTGCAGAATCATGAATTCTTCAAATGTTGATCGTATCTATGATGGTTTGTTGTGGACTATGAGGTATTTTCATCCTTTTCTTTGTATGGTTTTATTGTCTTTTCTTATGCATGTGAATAAGACATAGCAGTGCTTGTGCATCTTATATTTTGTTGTAGGACTTCAATTCGTTTTCCCATATTATATACAGCATTTTGGTGTATTTGAATTGGTAATATTGATGTCAACTAATGTATGTTCTGTTGCAAGTAAAGGAGTTTGCAAGAACTTTCTTCTATTCTATTGCTTCCAAATTCAAGGATGGAGATATCTCCAGTGTCATCTTCTACCTTTAATGAGGTCTCTCTCTACCATGTACAATTTCACAGTCCTTTGATGTCTCACAAATGCCACCAAATTTTAATGCCAATAAAAGGTCTTAATGGATATTTGTAAATAGGAAAACTTGTAATTTGGATATTTTTTAGCTATCCTTTATGTTTTCCTTAATTTTCTCTGATTATAAACAAAGATTGAATGTGTAGCAATCATACAAACAACTCTTGTAGTCCCTTTTTACATGGTATCCCCTACCTCCCCTACCTCCAGACAAGACTGTAGTTGGTAGCAATCACACAATTCCTGTAATCTCTTTTTACAATAATCAATAAGCAAGCAATGTCAAGAATTTACTTAATGTTGATAATTAAAGTACAAAAAATGGCAGTATGGACAAGAGCTGACTCTCCATGTCTGATTTATGCTAATTGAATTTTTTGAACAATCTTACATTGGAACTCAGTTTGATTTGAAAAGAATGTATTCCTTAGTAGTCAGGCAGTAACTGAATTTTTTTTTTTTTTTTTATTGATTGATTTTGTTGTAGGACTACTCTGGAGAATTGTTTATCCTGTTGCTTCTCCAGTATGTTATTTTCATGCTAAAATATGTATTGTTTTGGTGAAACTAACTTTTGCAGTTCATCAATGGTTGGCAACTATTATGGAGTACTATTGTGCATGGGTTACCGATTTTTAGCAATATAAATGCTCTTGTAAGTTTTTTCTTGACAAAACTGTATCCTCCCAATTTTAACTTGTAGTTTGTATGGGTCTAATTAGTCCTTTTAAATGTTTGCTATTCTTCTGGAGTATAAGGATTGAGTTAGATAATAGAGTATCAATTCAGCCAAGGTTTTTTTTTTTGTTTTTTTTTTTTAATTTTTTTTAAATGACTGGCTTAATTAACAGAAATAAATAAAAATCCTAAATGTGCTACAACATAGTTATCAATCTCCAAGACAATGGTGCTCTGAAAACACTGTAGTGAGAGATATGCATTATGACTGCGAATTTAGGTATTGTGATAATACAAACTATAATTTATAATGCATATATGAATACTCATAAAACAACACAAAATCCCAAAATTTAAGAAATTTGTGATAAATAATAAGCCACAATTTAGACACACAATCGCCATCAATCTAGGAGCAATAAGAATGTAGTAATGAAGACAAAGAAATGAAATAGATAATGGCATAAGATAAAAAATAAAAGATGGATTGAGAACACTAAAGAAAGAAGTAAGATCCGGGCACAAGGTAAATAATCCTGTAATGAGTTAATGAATTGAGGTGACTTTTTCTGGAATATATTTCCCAAAAATCCCTCCAAACAATGATGTTCAGTCTATATGTTGGTAATGCTGCTACAATGGGTGGAATTTGCTATTACGGCAATATTTTGGTCACCATTGAAAATTTGCTCCTCTATTTGAATTGCATTTCGCCCAAGGCTTCTCCACTCCAAGATGCCAGTGTAGAAGCTATATTGCTGTTGGGATTATTAATTAGTTGGTGGAATCATTAATTAGTTGTACTTATCTCTCGACCTATATCTAGCTCACAATTCTGCCCCTTGACTTTCCATCTACTCAGTGTATTTATAAATAAGATATCATGTTAGAGGTGTGATTAAGCCCTCTAAAAACTATTTTCTCTCTTTTATTTTATCTTAAGTATTGCACTTTTGAGTGAAGAGAGTAAAGGACTGGTCAAAGGATCATTTTACACTACCACACTGATATTTATAAGAACAATTAATCTTAATATAACTCCCAATTTCTAATTGAAAAAAACTATAGATTCCATTAAGCTTTGTTACTCCTTTCTTTACTCATATTAAATATATAATTAGTTTTCTATTTATTTGTTAAACCAATCAACAACCTCTAAGAAGCTCTCTAGATTTTAGCCAATGGAAGCATTCATGAAATAGACAGGTTGACATTAACGGATAACTCACAAGCTTGGGTTATTTTACTTAGTTTGTGTTCAACGTTACAATTAGCAAAGTCACTATCATCATCAATTGAAAATTGGTAATATGAATCAATCTTCATATAGCTATAGACAATATGATTGCCAATTGTTGTGCACCAAAACAAATATATAAGAATCTATACCAAAACAACTTTGATGATTTGATTTGTGCTCATTGACTTGAATGTTCTAATCACCATTCCCAAGCATAGTGGTGAAACCTGATCCATCCTGGTTGGGACTTGGCAAATATATTAGGTTGAGTTCATGATCTAATTGGGTATGCAAGTGATCCGGTGCAACCTGGGTTGAGCTAGTCCAGGTCAATTTTTTCTTTCAATTTTTTTATAAATATATATTAGGATCAAGTAATGATATTTGAATCATTCAAATTGATTCTATATTTATGTCATTAGCATAAAATAGGGGAATGGAATATTCTATAATTATGCTCTTTCCCTTATAATTGAATAGCTTCATTGTGGACTAAACACATGAAATTCATCATATCCCTTGGTCTCTATCTTCTCAACATGGTATCAAAAGTCTAACAAGGAAGAAAACCTAATTCGTGTCCCTATGGGCCCACTTCTCATAGGTGTAAATTCTGTTACTTATTTTGATGATTTTTCTTGATGTACATGGTTATACTTGATGAAAGATTGTTCAAAATTATTTTCTATTTTTAACTATTTTTTCATGAAATCAACAATAAATTTGATGACCTTATTCTTTTTTTAATAAAGTGATAATGTGTGTTTTATAAAGTGATGATGCATGTAAGTCTCTCTATCCAATTCAAACATTTATGGCGTCTCATGGTGTGTTGCATGAAACATCTTGTCCTCATTCCCCTCATCCAAATGGGGTTGTTGAATGTAAAATAAACATTGTCTTGAAACCACTTAAACCCTTCTTTTGCACTCATGTTCTTCATTAATTTTAGGGTGAGGTATCAAGTATTATTCACCTACATTTCCTAGTTTTTTCTTTTATGCTATGTCACTTCAAAATTGTTCCTTTTTTTGGGCTTACATCATCTATACTTGAGACTTCTCCTTCCAACATGCAGCTATCCCATTCCATTTTTGTCCTCTAGAGGAGTCTCCACGCCATACTGATCCATCTTCTCCAGCCTTGAAGGTTTATCAATGTCATAATCATCCTATTATGTTGCCACCTAGCACCAACAACACCACCAACTCACCTCTGACACCAATTCTTTTAGCTTCATCCTCCAATCCTTCCTTCTAAGTCTAACTTTCTTATTGCTCTTCAAAAAAGTATACATTCTACCCATAATCCTTCTCCTTGTTATAAATACTTGAGAGAAATATTTAGGGTGAAAAGACAATGTAAAATGACAATGGTATGTTGTATTTATATGAGAGAGAATACGAAAAAGATGTAGGGCTCTAACCCTAAGTCTGAGAACATACATCACACAAATAAAATTAAACATGTTGACATTACTCAAGTTGGAGCATATAGATTGTATGTGCCAAGTATGGAACATGGAAACTGAATTGTGTGTCCTGTTAGAGATTTAGTTAGAATGTTTGCGAGTCACAAACTCAGTAATTAGGTCCTTCGACTCAATGATAGTTGATCTCATCCTTCATCAACTTTAGTTAATTGAAGGAACCTAATTTCCTACCAAAAGTTGATCACGCATGTGATCAAAATCAGAATGTAAACTTCTCAAAATTAGGACCATGTACAACTTGTCAAGTTTCTTATTAAGTTCCTCCAAAGTGCTCACCATTAGAAACCTTTTCACTTCTTCAACAACAACTTTAGCCTTTGTAACATGAGCGACCATATCATGGTTGGTCTTTTCGAGAGAAGTTATTGCTTAGGTTGCATGAAAGAGACGTCAAAAATCGTTTGCAAAGATATTTTGTGTTTTCTTCCAAAAGGAAGATAAGGTCTTTTAATATGCAATGGATATTTTGGAAGAAATGGGAATTTAAAATTCCCAGATAGTTGACACCTTGATGCATTCCAATGTCAAACTCCCTCCTAATCAGGGGGAGCTTCTTACAGATCTTGAAAGGTATAGAATATTTGTAGGAAAGTTAAACTACGTTATTATTATCCATCAAGATATCTTATTCGCAGTAGGTGAAGTAAGTTAGTTCCATGACTCTATGTAAGGAACATTGAGACATTGTGTCTCACATGTTTCCATACATCAAAGTAGCTCTCAAAAAAATCTTTTGTATGAAGAAAAAGCACACTAGAGTGATTAGGAATTTTGATGTAGATTGTCCAGACTCCCTTGCTGATAGAAGATCCACCTTTAGCTTTTATATATTTGTTATTGATAACCTTGGTTCTTGGTAAATCAAGAAGCTTAGTGTTTTAGCCAAGTGTAGTGCTACTAACCTTGTCACTTATATGTGATAATTAGGCTGTCATGCATATTGTTACAAATCTAGTATGCCATGAAGGACAACATATTAAAGTTGATTGTCACTTTGTCATAGATAAAGTCATGTTAGGGGAAATATCTACTAGCTTTGTCAGTTCCCATGATCAACTAGTAGATATATTTGCTAAGTCGCTAAGGGATCCTCATATTAACTACATTTGTAACGAGCTTGGTGCAAATGACCTATATGATTAAGCTTGAGTGGAGTGTTAGATATGTTAGAATCCTATAAATATGATACTAGGATCAAATGATGGTATTAGGATCAATTAGATTGATTAGATGTGTTGAGACATGTTGTTTTTCTATCCTTTTGTATTCTCTATGTATGTTTCTTAGACTAGGGTTTAGGGTTTGGGCTGGGACCCATATCCTCTCTGTTGTATCTCCTTTATATATAAATACAATGTAATAGTACCTTTAGACTCTGTATTGAAACCTTAGTTTCTCAAGTTGGTATCAAAGTGGGTATGATCTCACACTGATTTCCGGTCATCCTTGTCATCTCCAGCCACTGTGGGCCGCCATTCGCCGTCGGCCACCGTCTCAGTTTGGTTTGGTGAATGTAGGGTTTGGTGCGCCTCGAAGAGCGTGACCCA